CATTTTTGTCTATCTTTGTTGTTTCAAAATGCTGAGAGAGTTGAGGTCTGGGAATGGAGGCTTCCTCTTCTTTTAATCCATAAGCCTCACTTAAATCAGAACACATTTAATTATTTATATATCAAAAATGTCTTCAGACACCATAAGTCCAGCACAGAGTTGCTGCCCTAAAATGTATAATTAGTGAAAAATTTGTCTCTGCTACCATTTAAAGCATGGCAGTGGGTTGGGTGTTATTATGTAGTATAAAAGCTGGACTAGAGACACTGCTATTTTAGAGTGTTATTAGCATTCTCTGAGTATGTGTGTGTGTGCATATATATCACATACTCCCAATTAAAAGTTGTGTGACAGCCACACAGGATTATGGAGACAACTATATTATCACTTTTGCTCTTTGATCTTGTGCTATTGTGGTTATTGAGAGAAAAAAGGACAAGGGTGAAGTGGTTTTAAAAAATAAGAGAACAAATTTGCCACCCAACAGGACAATCTGAGCATGATTTGTCCCAAGGGGTAGCTTTACATCCTTTCCAGAGATGGAAAGGCTTCTGACAGCGAAACTACTTCAAAAATCAAATCAAGTTAAATCCGCAAGCATACTCCCACCCCTCCCCGCCACGGTGGTTCTTACTCTGAATGTTAAGTAGAGTAATTAGAAGCAACATTCAAAGATGCAAAACAGAGTTTGTCATTACAAGCTTGCCAAGGTAACAGATTGTACAACTTGAGATGCATTTGTGTTGTTTCAGAAGTTCGGAAAGGTTGGAGGATGGGTTTATAAATAAAGCAGTGAAACCCATTGAAAGCCTGCTTCTTCTCTGATTGTTTCCAGTGATGTGATCCACAATCTTCTCTCCTAGAGGAGAAGCTTTTCCTAGTAGTTTTAAGCACACACACACACACACACACACACACACACACTCCAATATGTATAGAATGGAGAGAGACATATTTACAGGGAGATATAAAGATCCACTCTTTTTTTGCATGTCCTCTCTGAAACAAGATCAATTATATGTGACATAGATATCAGCCTCTCTCGAGCCCAGCAAGGGTCACCTTCCTCTGGGGCAGTAAGTCCCACATTTTCCTGATAAGAAGAATCACCTGGGTGCTTGGAAAATATAGAGGTTTCAGGGCTGCACCCCACGCCTTCAGGAATGGAGCCACACAATGGGTATTGTCAGTGAGGACCCAGGTGGTGTTTACGATCAGGGACCCACTGTGGCAGAGAAAAGATCATGTACACATGTGGAGAAGGGGGGTCCTTGCCTCTCAGCCATCATTCACATAAGCTGTGTCAGGGTGATGATCAGCTTGGATGATCTCCAAACTGATCATCGCCCCAGACACAGCTCACAAACTTCCCTGGGAACTACTCTCCTGCTCAAGCCTGAATCCAGGCCAGCCTCCTCCTCAGTGGAAAGCTGCTGCTATTATAATGGACTTGGCAGAAGAGGGATGTGAGGAAGGTCACACTTCTTTCTTGTCATATCTCTTAATTCCATATAACAGACCACATTAGAGGATAACTGACAGGACTTGGATGATGAGAGAAAATATTTCACATGGTAGCAGGTGAGATTATTCCTATAGTTCAAAGGAAAATAACAGCACACGTAGGCAACCAAATATTCTCAAGAAGTGCCAGCTTCTAAACTTGCCTCCTGGTGTTAAGTCTGCATCCCCTCCAAGGGAGGCTTCACCTTCAGATCAATGCTAGGGTCACTGTCCACTCCCTGGTAGAAAGTCCCCTGGGAACATTCCAATTGGTCCAACACACAGGACTTAAAGCTTCAGGGAGCCTGAGTTATTTAAGAGAAGTCAACCCTAGGCCCTGTGTAAAGGGCTGCTGAGCAGAGAGTGGGCAGAAGACTGTAGCCAAGGTGCCCACATATGCTCTGGGTCTCCCAAGACCAGCTCTCTTAGCATGTTCAAGACAAAACTTCAATTTTCAAAGTTCACTTATTGCAATTTCAGCGTATCTTCAGTGGAAAGCAGAGCAATCAAATCCCCCTCATTCATCCGTCAAAGTCATGCTTAACCATCCATCGTAATATGGTATTAATTTGTATTCCTATTGCTTTTGGTTACAACAGAGCCACAAATGCCTATGGTCACTTATGACTATCCACAGACTTCATCAAACTGTTGTGAGTATATTTTCTTGATCTTGGATTGGATCCAATCTGAGGTAGGGCATTTTCCACCATGAACACTGTAAAAAGACATTAATATCGACCAAGCACTTATTAAACAAATGAAAACATCTTTTAGCACTAGACAGAGCAAACAGACATATATCCTGCCCTTGTGAAGCTTATGATTTACTGAAAATGATACTCATCAAAATAAAGGAACAAACAATTTGTATTTAATTGCATTGCACTGAGTGACATGAAGAGAATAAGATTGTGAGATGACAGACAACAAGAAAGACTCCCTTTTAACATATGGTGGCCAGGGGAGGTATTTCTGATCATTATGGGGAAGGGTGTTGGGAAGAGTATTCTCTGCAAAAGGAATAGCACATACAAAGGCCCTGTGGCAGAAAAGAGCTTGGCTGTTGTGAGCAGAAAAGTCAGGGCACTGCAGTACCAAGCATGAGCTTGGGAAGATAGGGTGTAATGATCTCTAAACCTCCCTCTCACCTTTGTATGCAGCCAGTAATGTGGAGTTCAAGAATTACAGTAGATTGGTGGTTATGAGCTTGAGCTTGAACTTTAGAATCAAACTTTAGAGGCTGATCCAGATTGAATTTCTGGCTGCAATCCCTGTGTGTTAATGACTCTCTTGGAGTCTCAGTTTTTTCATCAGTAAAGTGGAGGAAAATACTTACTGTTAGTCTCAAATGAAATATTACACAAGAACCAATTTATATAATGTCTGATGTACCAACAGTGATTATTAAGTATGCACTCCACATATGTCATATTTTAATCATGGTAAACATAAAATTATTATAACCATAAAACATGGTAAAAAATTAGATTTCTCTCTTATATACTTGATTTGAAGATAAAGAAAGACACCATATTGATTTTCTAGACTGGAAGAAAAAAATAAGTCTCAGGAAAGGTCCTTTGTGGATAGTTGAAAATCTTTGGGGAATAGGAAGGTTTAATGTATTTCTCCTCTATGACTCAGGAACTACTTCCAAACTAAAGGAACTAAATAACCTTCACTGCAGTTTGAACTACATTACTTTAGTAAATACAATGAGAATCAATATTAAACCCTAGAACCATTTTGGGGGTCCTTTTTTCTCAACATCCTTCAAAATATTTGGTTTACATGCTTT